ATTCTGCAATTTTACTGTGAACCTAAAACTGTTCTAATATATAAAGTCTGTTAAAAAATAAAATACTTAGGAATAAACTTAACCAAGACAGGGAAAGACTTGCACAGTGAAAACTATAAAACAGTGATGAAAGAAATTAAAGACACAAATAAACAGAAAAATATCTCATGTTCATGGATTATAAGATTTAATATTATTAAAATATTCATACTACCCAAAGCAATCTATATTTGATGCAATCCTAACAGCCTTTTTTGCAGAAATAGATTCATATGGGGGCGCCTGGGTGGTTCAGTTGTTAAGCAACTGCCTTCGGCTCAGGTCCTGGTCCCAGGGTCCTGGGATTGAGCCCCACATCAGGCTCCCTGCCCGGTGGGGGGCCTGCTTCTCCCTCTCCCACTCCCCCTGCTTGGGTTCCCTCTCTCGCTGTGTCTCTCTCTGTCAAATAAATAAATAAATAATCTTAAAAAAAAAAATAGATTCATATGGAATCTCAAAGGACCCCGAATAGTCAAAACAATTCTGAGAAAGGAAAACAAAGCTGGAGGCCTCACACTTTCTGATTTCAAAACATATTACAAAGCTACAACAATCAAAATAGTGTAGTTCTAGCATAAAGACATATAGACCAATGGAACAGAAGAGATAGCCCAGAAATAAATCTACATGTATATGATCAAATGATTTTTGATAAAGGTGCCAACACTACGCAATGGGGAAAGAGAATCTCTTTAGCAGATGGTGTTGGGAAAACCAGACATCCACAAGCAAAAGAATGAAGTTGGACCCTTACCTTACACCATAAGCAAAAATTAACTAAAAATGGATTAAAGATCTAAATGTAAGAACTAAAACTACAAAACTCCTAGAAAAAAGCACAGAAGAAAATCTTCACAACATTGGAACGGACAATGATTTCTTGGATATGACACCAAAAGCATAGGCAACAAAAGCAAAAATAGACAAATGGGACTACATCAAACTTAACTTCTGTGCAGCAAAAGAAACAATCAACAGAGTGAAAAGGCAATCTATAAGATGGGAGAAAATTTTTGCAACCTATTTATTTGATAAGGGGTTATAAAGAGCTCCCACAACTCAATAACAAAAATAACCTGATTAAAAAATGGGCAAAAGACTTTGAATAGACTTTCTCCTCAGAAGATACACAAATGGTCTATATGCATTTGAAAAGATGCTCAACATCACGAATCATTAGGGAAATGCAAATCCAAACCACAATGAACTATTACTTCATGCCCCTTAGGATGGCCATAATCCAAAAAAGTTGGAAAATAACAAATTTTGGCAAAAATGTGTTGAAATTGGAACACTTGGTACACTGTTGGTGGGAATGTAAAATGGTAGAGCCACTGTGGAAAACAGAATGGAGGTTCCTCAAAAAGTTTTGAGGAATTATCATATAGAGAGAATATAGAAATTCTGTAAACCTACTTCTGGGTATATATACAAAAGAATTGAAAACAGGTTCCTGAGGAGATAAATTAGCACTCCCATATTCACTGCAGTATAATTCACAATAGCCAAAACATGGAAGCAATATAAATGCTCATCAATAGATAAATTTTTTTTAAATGTACTATATACATACAGTGGAATATTATTCAACCTTTACAAAGAAGAAAATCATGTCAGATGCTACAACATGGATGAGTCTTGAGAACATTATGCTAAGTGAAATTAAACCAGTCACAAAAAAACAAATACTGCATGATTCTACTTATATGAGGACTCTAAAGTAGTCAAACTCAGAAACAGAAAGTAGAATGGTGATTACCAGGGGCTGGGAGGAGGGAGAAAAAGAGTTCAAGGGATATAAGGTTTCAGTTTCACAAGATGAAAAAGTTCTAGAGATCTGTCGTGCAACAATATACATATAGTTATTACAAACCGTACACTTAAAAATGGTTAGGATAGTAAATTTCGTGGGTTTTTTTAAGGTTTATTTATTTTAGAGAGAGTGCACACCAGCGGGGGGAGGGGCAGGGAGTGGGGGAGAAAATCTCAAGCAGACTCCCCGCTGAGCGTGGAGCCCACTGTGGGGCTCTATCTCATGACCCTGACATCATGACCTAAGCCAAAACCAAGAGTTGGGTGCTTAACCAACTCTGCCACCCAGGAGCCCCTATATTATGAGGTTTTTTTTTAACCACAATAAAAAAAAAAAAAACCCACATCAACCAGTTGTAATGTATGGATCTCATCTGTACCTTGATTCCAATAAGTGATGAATAAATTTATGAGGCAATAGGGAAAAACTGAATGCTGACTGGATATTTGATATTACGAAGCATTAATTTTTTGTGTGATAATGAATGGGTTTTTGATGTGATTCCTCTCCTTTTAGATAATCTGAAATATTTTATGGGTGAAATAATATCTGGAATTTGCTTTGAAATAATCCAGCAGGGATGGCAAGTACAGGGGAATAAAGACGGTCAGGAGTTGAGACTTATTGAAGCCAGGTGATGGGTACATGGGGGTCAGGTAATTATGTACGCTGTCTACTGTCATATATGTTTTTTTTCCGTAATAAAGACTAAAATAAAGCAAATGCCTCTGGAGGGTTGGGGCTATCTGGTATTTATACTTGGCATTGAGCTCATCTACTGAGACTTCCTCTTCTATCAGCGAGAGGACCCAGGCCCTTCAGTGTGAATTTAAGTGTTCTGTGTTGATGACATGCTCAACACCTTTGGTGTTTCCAACTGCTCTTGCACTTAGTTGAGCAGCTCATTGTTCTACTGACACTTGTGAGTTGTGCTTTTAGGAATGTTTATTCGATAAGCATTCCTAGTTTGGGAGACTAGATTCATTACCCAACAGTCTACAAAGTCCTTCGAGGAGCAGCACACCACTCCAGACCCTAACATCTGGGCATGCTGACATCAGTGAGGGCAGGGGCCTCTGCCTAGGTAGAGCAGAAGATAGGGAGAGGAACACCCGCAAAGGAGGGAATGATGAGGTCACCAGGCACAGACAAAAAAGAGGCAGCAAAACCTTCGCACTTACTCGGAAGTTTTGTCCAGGGCAGGCTCTTCCCTAGAAGAAGGAGGGAAACTCTCTTCCACTCCTTGCATTGCCTGGCTTCCTGCCCCAGCCTGCTCTTCTTTCTCCAATAGCTCCCACACAGAAACAGTGCCAGTTCTCAGAAGGCTGCAATTTCCCAAACTTAGATTTAGGACAGCAAGAACATGAGGGCCACTCAGATTCCTCGCTCTTACCCCAGACCTTCTCTTCCCTTACCAGCCAGAGGGCGAGGACAGTATTACCCAAACCAAATACCAAAGGAAGACAGAGAACCCCAGGTTAATTTGTACGGCCACTGGGATTTATATTCTAATAGCTTGATCACGCAGGGAAACCCTGATGATGGGTATCTTTGGTAAAGAGAATACAATTAAAATAATCTAATTTATTGGTATAGTTATAAAAATGGTTCAAAAAGAAACTACTTCCACAAGAAACTAAGTTGTAACACTTTAATAATTTCAATAGAACCAAATTCAGGAATAGATATACACACACATTAAATTCAAACAATTTAATTGAACAGTGTACCTAAATGCATCAAATTCTTAAAAATCCCCAAAATGGACTCGAGGCCATGGATATGAAAAGGTAATTTTAAAGTACTACCAACTAGAGTAAAACAGACAAGGTTATTACTTTGCATTTACCACTAAGACGACAGCCTGTAGATACATTAGACCTTTATGAGAACACTTCCAGGCAATGTTAGAACAGAGACTCATTAAAAAGGAATACAACTGATCTCAGAAAGATGAATTTATAGCTAACAATTTCTTTGGTCCTACAAGTCACATCTGTTTTTACTTTAAAATACCAAACATGAGTGTTTAATTCTACTTCTAAATGTCTATTAAGCAGGATAATGTTTATATCACATTAGATTTTAAAAGGAACTCAAAATAAATTACCACTGTACTTCAGAAACTCTAAATATAGAAAAATATAGGAAATAGAAGTAGGGAAGAATTTTTTTTTTAAAAACAGCACTTCCGCCATCTTGTCCCATCATAAGGCAAATGACATCAAAATGGCAGAGACAGGACTCTCAAGGTTATAGTAATCACTGTAGTTAATTCTTCTTAAGGTAATGGAATAAATTTGAAGAGCACAATGTCAACTAAATAAGAGACTTTTCCATGGAATGACTGTGGTTTTGTTTTTGCAGGGAAGTTGGGTTTTTTTGTTGTTTATATTAATTTGGCCCAGACTGCCCTAGTGGAGGAAATTCTAAGGAGTCATTAATAAGGCAACAGCTTCCTGGACAAGAAGACCTCTACCACTTTGGTAACAACAGTTACATTGAAGACAAGACCCATATGGAGCACAAGAGGAACCAGTATGGGGGCTTCCAATAATTTCCAGTAATTCCAGAAAATTACAGTGCATTTTCACAGATACCAATAATGTAGCTTTCACTGAACATTGGATATCACTCACAATGCAGTCCACAGTTCATTCTGCATGCTTTCCTATTCACAGAAGCTATGGTTCTGCAGACCTGAAAATGATGGACATTCTCAAAAGTTTCTGGAAATACTTAGAAAAATATTTGTTAAGATAAAAAAAAAGTTTTGAGGCATCTCCAAGGAATACACAAAGTTGCAAGAAACTCCTAAAGGTAAAACAGTGAGGACTAGTTATTTGCAGGGTGAATACTTAAGTCTCATAGAATAATGGCTTTTAAAAAAGGGCCAAGGTATCTACACTCTAAGTGGTGTGATATTCTCATCAAGGCACAGAGAGTTAAATGCCTAAATCCCTGTGTGTTGACATGAGAATACACTTGTAAACAATAGGAACTAATTCCCTGTACTTGAATTTAAAAAAGAATAGAAAGTAGAAACGTGCCTTTTTAACTCACAAAATCAAAAACATAGATATTCCACCACCTGCCTTTGGTGACTAATGTTACAACTGGATAGTCAAAAAATAAATTTATAAAAAATAAAGTGCCCTGGCAGTTTAATAAATGTGATTAAAGTGAAACCTGTTGGACTTTGAGTTTGCAGAGTGATGCTGCACAGTGTACAAAAATTATTTTACGCACTACACCATCTGGGGGGGATAGTATATTGGCCATAGTTTTTCCCCATTCCCAACATTCCTATGCTTATGAACCCAATAACCACAGTATTTGAACAAAATACTTGTATTTTTCTTCCTTCCCAGCACCCTCAAGGTTATCCAAATGGCAGTGGTTTTGTGCATGTAACTTACACTATGGGCAGTTTCCTTGAAAGTTACCACTAAAAGGTGGCAAGAAGAAAGTAGAGGGCTCACCCCTTTGTTAATTATTTTTATTTGATTTGCTATAAATAATTATTAAATACCATTAGTGACAAGGAATAAAGTTCACATCTGTAACAATTGAAAATGGAACGTACAAACAATTAAGACCAAACAACGCTATCAGTGGCACGATCCTCAAAGCACATGACACACACTGAAGTTCAGCTCTTAATGAGAGTTAGAAACTCTTCTCGAGTCTTTGGGTCTTCCCGGAACACACCCAACATCGTGCTGGTCACAGTTTTGCTGTTCATTTTCTGTACACCTCGCATTACCATACACATGTGTCTACAAAACAAAACAACAGAGGTGGCTTAAAGAAATAGACAGTTGCTGGTTTGGTTTTTAAAGTCAAAAGCAGGCCAAAAAATTAAATCTGATTATACTGAGTTCACAGCTACCAACTGTATCCAAAGATCACTTCTTAGACAAATGTGACCTAAAACTTTTATTTATGTTTCTTAGTCATATAGCTCTTATTCTTAGCAGTGGCTGAATCTTTGATGCATCTAGCAGAAGGGGAAACATGGGAATTTCCTTCCTAGGTGAAAATAATACAAGGGGTCCACAGAAATAAAAACAACTTCTGGATAAAAAGAAATTCGGAATTCTCACTTGCTCCATCTGTAGGACCCAAACAGCACAATATTAGCTTACGTATTTGGAGAAATACTGAAGTATGCTGGTGTCACCAGGCAGAATCTAGGGAACAGTGATCCCAGTGCGTGTAAGCAACCTGGTGAAGCTGGACAACCTGCACAGCACAGAGCTCACGCCATGTCAGAAGAATGGACAAGATGTGTGCAATTCTCATCATTCATTCTAACTTAAAGAAGTTTCTTCAGGTGCCCTTTATACCCGGTTTTAGCTCCATTTTTTAAAATGTGTGACAAAATATTAGGAAAAGTCGGCTTGGAGCAACAAAGAGCCAAAGAAGAAATCAAGAGAAGACATAAAATGCTACTGGTTGCACAAATCAGCACGCTTAGGCTGATGACTCCCGACACCTCCACCATCCCCACTGAAAACAAAACAAAACCAATCTCCCGTATTCTGGTTCCTGTATCAGCCACACTGTAAATGCAAGAGGTAAAAAAAAAAAAAAAAAAGCTTCAGGTCAGAGACAGAAAACGTGACAGTGTCAATGATGTGGCATCACCTGGTGCTGGAAAAACAGAGCAGCACTAAATACCATTTCCGTGCACCACGATGACATCATTAAGGACAAATATGGACTTACGTTGCTTCAACCACCACCCCAACTCCAGCAGGCCGCAAGGCTTCTGTGATTGCTATGGCAATTTGTTTTGTCAGCCGCTCTTGAACTGTGGGGGTGACAAGAAGCTCTGCTGAAGAGTCTGACACAAACAGCGGTCTTTAGAATATTCAGTCTTTAGAATATTTGAAATCTTAAAAAGCAGACTTCTGTGAGGCTTCAGAACCAAGACACACCAGTTTTTACCAGTTTGCTTTGTCTGCCGCCCACAAGAGAGAGCTGTTCAATTCCCTCACCTGCAGGTCAGCACCACTGCAGGAAGTGGGTAAGAATGACAACTGTCTCTTAGGCGTGCAGGAAGACCAACTGATGACAAGCACCTCCATGCAGATGAATAAATAGCTCGCGACAGGATTAACAAGGGCACTAAACCCAATTATTGAATTGTATGTAAAGATGAAAACCAAGACTCTAACCTAAACAATGCAGTCCCTGTGCTGAATAAAAAATTCGTCTTTGAAAACATATTAAGAGTATTCACTGCAGCATCGCATCTATTTGAAAACTGACAAAATTTTCAAATACCTATTAGAGCAGGGATTGGTTAAATCAAGCGCCAGCACAGTCGTACAACGGAATGCTAAATAGCCAGCAAAATGAATAAGATAGTTACATGCATGTGGGAAAAAAATGTTTGATTTATTAAGAGAAAAAAATAGGGGAAAAAAGTGAAGCCCATTACATACAACATGAGCCCATTTAAAAATATAATAAATTGATTTTAAAATGTTGGTAGATGCACAAAATATGAAGGAATGTGCAAATACAACAATGATTTCTTCCAGAGGCTTGAAACACTGCAGACTTTCCTCTTCTAGGTTATATTCCTATGAGGTTTTGACTTTGGTAAGTCATATGTATTACACGTGTAATGAGAACAACAAAAAATACTTTTTCCTTAAGAAAAAAAATGTTTTTCTGTAAATAAAAGTTTAAAAGTTTACCTTGTAATCGTCTACTATAGATTTCTACAATCCTAGAAAAGAAAGAATTGTTTTAGTTAATCATAAATTTGTTTGAAGTGGAATTGGCAAGGCTTCCTCAAAAGACCAAAAGGACTTTATCGAAGCAATTGTAGGGTGTGGGCAGGAGATTAATGTTTCTAAGAGGAGGAAAGATACAAAAACTACATGGAAATGAGAAGTGGGAGGGTCCTGAGGAGACCATCAAGCATGACACAGAGTGGCAGTTCCCTATGTCCCCAAAGAGAGAGAGAGAATTATGTGCATATTCACTTAGGAAAAACACAATGATTTTAGAGCTCCGAAGTCATCAATTTTAGGCCAAGTCTCAAGTGTTCTAATTAATCATATTGTTTAATCAGAGCTTCAAGTTCAAGTTAAAAATAAAAAGACTATTTGTTAATTAATAGCGGGCCATTGTCAACTACTGTACCCACTAAACCTATTAGGATAATCAGATTAGAACTGAACAGACTTCTTCAGACATCTCTTTATAAGCTACATCTATATAAGCACTCGGTATGATTAACTCCCCAAAATAAAAGCCTCCTGATCTTGGCTTATAACACAATCTGTCAAGAGACAGATTTTCCCCTTTCAACATCTTTCACTCTAGTCGTGAAATGTAAAGATGGCCACATGAATTACCTATTTGAGGATAACAATTCACATTAAGGATCTTTTCTTTAAAACGTGGCCTTTTAGTCATGAATTTGGACTCAATTTAAGGATCACTTCACCTAGGAGGCATTTTATGGCTCTTTCCCGTGCCCCCATCCCCCCACTACAATGCTCAGATAAAATTGAAAAGTTGCTCCTTTATACCCATTATAGCCAAAATATGCTGCCCTGTTTACCACTGAAACTGAAGGCAGGAGCCACCCTGATTCTTCTTCATGTTTCTAGTAGGTTTATACCATTGGATGAATACAATTATATATTTTTGATTTTGAACAAAAACCTGAGGAAGGATGCTGTTCAAGCTCCTGGATAGGAAATATGCCTTATTTCTTCTAGGTCAAATCTCTATATATGACTTCTCATAGCTTTCCAGGTGATTAATTTCTGTTGTATGAATAAGAGATGCCATTGATTTAAAAATCAGTAACGTCTTCCTTCTCATAGTCATCATTTCTCTCAAGTAGAATTTCAGGTACAACATTAGACAACAGTGGCAATATTAGGCACTCATATTTTGCTCTATACTTTAATAGGAATGCCTGTAACATTTTACTATCATCGATGATACCTGCTGGTTGCTGGTAAATAGCCACTCTCAGGCCAAAGGAAGGCCATTCACGCAGATCTTTATTGAGTGCCTTCTACGTATATGATTATGTGATGAAGAGGGTCCCTATGCTCAGAGAGTTTATAACTTATTCCTGGTTTATTCGGTTTTCATTTTCAAGTAAGCAGAAGGCACTGAATTTCTGTCTTCTCAGCATTAAAGATAATCATATAGCTTCCCTGAATTAAAAAAAAAAAACTATTTTGCCCTCTTTCTTTAAGATAATGTGTTGAGAGGTATTTGTTGAAAACAGAATTCTAATTTAACACTAATATTCATCTGCCTTTTTTAAGATTTTTAAAATTTATTTATTTGACAGAGAGAAACACAGCGAGAGAGGGAACACAAGCAGGGGGAGTGGGAGAGGGAGAAGCAGGCTTCCTGCGGAGCAGGGAGCCCGATGCGGGGCTCGATCCCAGGAGCATAGGATCATGACCTGAGCCGAAGGCAGACGCTTAACCATCTGAGCCACCCAGGTGCCTCTCATCTGCCTTTTAATATTGCCATTGGCAAACAATCGTCAGTCTAATTGCTGTTACCTTGTAGGTAATGTTTTCTCTGCAGCTGCTTTTATGATATTTCATTATGTGTACTCTGAGATTTTCTATGTTGTGTCTAGGTGGGGATTTAATTTTTTTGTGCTGTTTGGGATTCATTCGGGTTCCTAAATCTAAAGACTGATATTTTTGCATGTGCTTCAGAAACGTTTTCAGCCATCACCTTCTCTAATATTGCACCTACCGCATGGCCTCTGTTACCCCCAGGAATTTCAAGTAAGAATTTGACCTCCTCAGTCTTCCACATCTCTTACATTCTCACCCATATTTTCCACCTAGCTCTGAATGCAATTGCTTCAGACCTTTCTTCCAGTTCACTATTTTTGGCTGTGTCTAAGCTGCTATTATCGATCTTTTTGTATTTATTTGTATTATTTATTTGTATTTATTTATCTGAGAGAGAGAGAGAGAGCACATGAGCCGGGGGAGAGGCAAAGGGAGAAGGAGAGAGAGAATCCTCAAGCAGATTCCCCACTGAGTGTGGAGCTGGACGCAGGGCTTGATCCCAAGACCCTGAGATCATGACCTGAGCTGAAATCAAGAGTCCGATGCTTAACTGACTGGCCACCCAGGAATGTGACTGTATTGGGCTTCAAATCCAATTTTCACTTTTTTTCGAGACATTTTATTTGGTCCTTTTTTTCCTCTAATCTAATTCTAAAAGTTTATTCCTTTACCAAACTTTCTGTATTCCTTTTTTTAAAGATTTATTTATTTATTTTTAAAGAGAGAGAGGTGGGGGGAGGGAAAATCCCAAGCAGACTCCCCACTGAGTGTGGAGCCAGACATGGGGTTCGATCTCACGACCCTGAGATCATGACCTGAGCTGAAATCAAGAGGCCCCCAGGCGTCCCTCAGGATTCTTACTTTCTAACATATGTGTTGTATGTTCTGTATCTGTTAGCTCCAGCCTCTGCCCTCTTTGGCCATTTGTTTCAGCTGACTCTGACTCATGGTGGCTTTTCTTTTACTTTTGGTGAATTCATGCTCCTTGGAATATCATTTGTGGGAATTCTCTGAAGCCAAAATAAAAGTGCATCAGAGAATAAGCACTTGTTTCTGCTAGGTGCTAAAAGGCTACCTCATTGGCAATGTTTTTAATTATTGCCCTGGGTTTTCTGAGGACCATACATGGTGACGTGAATTCTGAGCCTAAACCCTTGTGAATACATGGCTATGTGTTATTTTTCGTGCTCTCCCCAGAACAAAGCTAACAGGTAATATCTCTCCCAATTTGGGGTGGAATAGGAGGACAGAACCCTGCCTTTGACTCCAGTGCTGGCTAATTCTTGTGAATTCTCACTGGATGTTTTGGGGATCTCACCCCAATGTTTGAAATGTTCATACATATTCTATCTTAGTAAGCTATACTAGGAGGGATATCATTACCATCTAGTTTACCATAGTCCCAGAATCAGTAGTTCGTAATTTTAATCTAAGCCATTTCTGTATTCTTGGAATAAAGCTCCCTGGGTCATGATGGAAACAGTACTTGAGCCTGTTAAAGTAGGAGTTAATATTTAGGATTTTTCAACTATATTCATAAGTGGGATTAGTCTATCACCTTTTTAAATGCTAGTTTTATCAGACTTTTGTCAGGGATAGGCAGCTTCATCAAATTAATGATGGTTTTTCCATGCTCTTGAATAATTTATACAACACTGGAATTAGTGGTTACTTGGAGGTTGTCTATTAAATTGATCATCCACCCCTTTCCCTCCCACCCCACTCCCAACATTAATTTGACTTTTTCCAATGGTTACTAATTTATCCTGGTTTTCCAACTCTTGGTTCATTCCCTTCTCTCTCCATCTTTTTAAACTTATTCATAAAGATTTAAAGTTTCTAAAGCATATTTCTGGTTACATAGCCTCTCATTTCTAGGTGTATTTCTCCTCTCAATCAGACTGCTAAGCAATCTATGGTATATGATCTTTTGGATTTATGTTTTCTATTTTTTAAATTTTCTAATTTAATTTTATTTTTCTTCTTTCCTATTTGTCCTATTAAGCTTGCTTTTTCTTTAAAAAAATATTGAATGTTTAGTTTATTTGTTGGGTTTCTTATTTAATAATGAAAGCATTTGTGGCTATAAATTTATCTCCAAAGCACAGGTTTTTTTAAAATTTCAGCTTTACTGAAGTATAATTGACAAAGATCATAAAGATAAAGTGTACATTGTGATCTAACACATGTATACACTGGGGGAAAAAAAAAATCCCCCATCTAGTTAATTAATACACCCATCACCTCACGTATTTATCTTTTTTCCCCCCAGTGAGAACAATGAACGTTGGAGTAGAGCTATTTCTTTAATATCCTATCTTCACTTCCTCTGGATATATACCCAAAATTAGGATTGCTGGATCATATGCTAGTGCTATTTTTAATTTTTTGAGGAATCTCCATACTGTTTTCCATAGAGGCTGCACCAATTTACATTCCTACCAACAGTGTACAAGGGTTCCCTTTTTTCCACAGCCTCACCAGAACTTACATCATCTTTTTTATAGTACTGTAGCCATTCTAATAGTTGTGTGGTGATATCTCATTGTGGTTTTGATCTGCATTTCCCTAATGCAATTAATGAAATTGAGCACCTTTTCATGTTATCTGTTGGGCATCTGTATATCTTCTTTGGAAAAATGTCTATTCAGTTCCTCTGCCTATTTTTTAATTGGATTGATGCTTTGCTATTGAGTTGTACGAGTTCTTTATATATTTGCACATTAACCCCTTACCAGATAGGTGATTTGCAAATATTTTCTCCCTTCTGTAGGTTGCCTTTTCATTTTGTTGATGGTTTCCTTTGCTATGAAGAGGCATTTTACTCTGATGTAGTCCCACTTATTTTTTATTTTGTTACTTTTATGTTTGGTGTCAAATCATCGCAAAGACTAATGTCAAGGAGCTTACCCCCTACGTTTTCTTCTAGTTTTATGGTTTCAGGTCTTATATTCAATCCCTTTTTAAGTTGATTTTTGTGTATAGTATAAGAAGGGAGTCCAGTTTTTAAGTTTTATTTATTTTTAATTTTATTTATTTGAGAGTGAGTGAGCAAGTGCACAAGCAGGGAGAGTAGCAGGCAGAGGGAGAAGCAGGCTCCTCACTGAGCAGGGAGCCCTATGCAGGGCTCTATCCCAGGACCCTGGGATCATGACCTGAGCTG